ACAAATTTAAATCTACCGAAGTGTACACGATCGGAAACTCAAGGGACATCCACGAACAAAGACGGATGAATGTGGTGTATTCAACGTTTTGCAATGTGTGCATCGAAATCCTCAGATGTCCACAAGGCAAATTGCCCAGGAATGCAACATGTCACAGTATTCCATGCTCAAGATTTTGAACGAAAACAATTTTCGTCTCTTCAAAGAGACTCGGTTACAAGAACTTCGTGCCCATGATCCTGAGCGCACATGGTACCTGACGTGTGGCAAACGGTTTTTACGGATGAAGCCATTTTTCATGTGAACGGAAATGTGACAAGCACTATTCGTTGGGCCGTTGAAAATCCAAGAAAATTTGTTGTATCAAAAAAGCTTCATAGTCCAAAGGTGCTAGTTTGGACTGGTCTCGTGCACGGCAGGATTGTCGGGCCGTAATTTTTCAATGAAAACGTAATAGGGTTAAGTTCAATGTCAAATTCATCCAAATACCGCGCAGCAACTGGGATTCTAATTTAATCGAAATCGAAACAGGGATAAGTCAGCTGTTCTGACATTGGTTGTCAAGGCTTAGGGTGCGGGGTGTATTAAAGGTACCTGGAAAATTCTGTTTGGCAGTTACATTGGTGGACTCTATGCTAAAGCGAATGCCTCCAGTGGTCAAAAATGAAGAAGGGCAAATGGAACATGGACCAGATGAAAGTGCAATACCTGTATGAAGTCTATGAGTCATTTCAATAAATAAATCCCAGGTAGGATTTCTACTGAAACTTTGTTATTTTCCAGCTAATGCGTCAGCAACCATCGTCGAAATCGCCGACTCAGAAGTTAAAGGCAGATGGATTGGCCGGAGAGGACCAAAAAAAATACCCTCCAAGATCACCTGATATGTCCCCCTTGGATTTCTTTCTGTGGGGATACATAACGGGAACAGTTTATTCCCCAAAATTCGAGGACGATCAAGGAGCGTAAACAGGGTATTGTGGCGCAGTGCGAAAGTATTCCAACTGCTACCATTCGAAAGGTGGAAGAAAATTATCTTCGCCGTATTTGGCCATGCAAGCAGCAAGATGGAAAATATATGGAACAACTTTTATAAAATAAATATGCATTTTTCCATAATATTTCTTCTTTCTTTCTTTCGGAATTATATATCCGACGTACTTGGCGAGATTGTTCAACGCGAAAACAACCATTTGGGAAAAAGCTAGAAGAGTTTTGCGAGGGCCTACATTAGAGGATAATGTTGTCCATTATTAAGGCAAGTTCAAAGTTTTGTCATTATCTGTTTACCGAACCCGCTTCGAAAAATAGTGCGTGTATCTTAGACGAGTCAAGCGTTGGACTAGTGTCATCATCGCTTGAGCATTTTCCATTCGGAATTTCCCACATAGCGCACCGCTCCACAACTGATTCGCTTGCGGTGATTCTCTACCAACAGTTAGACAGCATCGGATACGGAACCTATCCTCCTCCTGTCCCGACCCGAAAATCACACGACCGATTGGGTTCATTTATCGATCGGTCGAATGGTTCAGCTGCATCAAGGGACCTGGTGCTTGCCTAACTAACCCGAGCGAGAAACCACACCTTTTTTACAGCTCTGAGTCTCAGGCAGGCCCAGTGAACTCCGACTGTGCAGCAGGAGTGCCATCAGCACTCGGATACACTGGACGTAACAACAAGAGCATTAGAAAACGTACAAGCCGGTAATCAAACAGTCTCGTGTTGGAGTGAGGGAGTTGAACTCCCTCACTCGCTCCGCAGATCGCAGAATGTGATCCAATTAGATCACAGAAAGGGTCAGAGGGAATTTACTTGTTTAAGGTCACGGGTAAGTGGGACGGGACGATCGAAAACGATGAATCAATAGCACTGAACATCTTGATGACCGGCTTGGGTGCACAGTTGAAATGGATGAGAACTACAGCTTTTGAAATCCCCCACTAAACAAACGATAGGAAAGTGTTTTGAAATTCAAAAATACAAGGGACCACTTGTGATTTACGGAAGTGAATGAATTTCTATTAGTGCCGCACCTGTGCTGATTATATTTCCAAACACAATAAATTCATCAAAATATTGCTGAATACTATTTTCACAATTAATTAATGAATTGTCGAATATTTAACATATTTTGATGATGAATAGCTTTGATGATCATTATACGAGGAACAATAGCTTAACATACCTTTTATGGAAACTGAACTGAAAAATCACTTCTCCATACTATCTTTGGCAAATACTTTATGTATGTGTTGCGCACAACATGCGATTTTAGCACAACAGAACACAGTGGTCAAATACACAAAGTGCTTTTCCGGAATTCCCAAACAGCTTGAATGGGAAATATCTGTTATTCGGAGCTCAGTCAAAAAAGTCGCGCAGCATTTTGCTACTAAATAGATTTCGTCAGCGGTTTCTAAGTCTGACCCGCAGTTCAGGGACCGATCCAGATTGATATACCCGCGGTGACGTGATTTACAATGATTGAACTGAAATCACTTTATCGGTAGAGTATGGAGTGTAATGACAGCCATAGATTACATTCGTTGGGACGTGTTACGCAAATCGCGAAATAGGTTGCTGCGGCACGCGATGCTTGCGGAGGAAGATAGTGGGTGCGATAAAACCAAGGGTGGTCAAACTAAGACCTGGCAAGAGGGTATGAAAACCATAACGAGTAGACTCAGTTACATTACTTCCTTTAGGGTCCAATCGAGATGATCGTAACCCGTAGTTAGAGACACTCAGTGATATGGCTGAGTAACATAAGTTGGGACTTTCGTGCATCTTCTCAATTTCTTTGCAACATTAGTCCCGTGAAATTCTCCAATTTCTCTTCGATTTTTGTTCACATTTCCTGTCCTTCTCTCACTGTGTTCATCCCAAACGGCAGACAACAGACAGCAACCAAAACCGATGCGCGAAAGTGCGATTGTACAAATCGAAATAATCATATCACCGCAACATGAAGCACCCACTTACCGGAGCTCGGTTTTCAGCAATTCCATGAAAAAGTAAACGCATGAACGCTTTTCACAAGCAAACATCAGTGGCAAACTAAATCCGCGAAGAGACAAATTTATTCTACTTAGATTTGTTGTTGCATGAAGGTACATATTAAAGTTCATTTGATTGATAAATTAAAAAGATCGCAGTACCAATGCAAGGGATCCATACATTATGTACGCTTACCGAACAGTCATGTCTGTGAGGTAGAAACAATAAAAATGAAGTCAGCTGGCACAATTTAATTTTTATGCTAAACACGAGATTCAGTTCACACAAAAAAGTATACATCTGTTTCAGTTTATGCTTTCGTTCGACAAATGAGTATACTCTTTGTACCTGAAAAAAACAGATGTGCTTTATTCAGTCTATCAATAACGGTTCCAATTCCGATGAGATCACATGATTGTTTCACATCACTGTGATAGAGGTGATTCATCGAGTCGACTAAAAGCTGCTTCTCTCTCTGTCTACTAAACCTGAGCCATTTTGGTGCGAATGGACCGCTATTTTCATCGACTCACTAAATAAAGATGTAACGCTGCGACGAGAGATGATTTTGCAATTGACTAGAATAATAATAATAATATTTCATAACATACATACACACATGTATAATAGATGTGGAACGGACACACGTGGTCACAAGACCAGATGGTATTTATCACACTAAATGGCTTCACTGTGCGTGTACACAGCACACAGACCAATCAAACGTGAGCTCCGAACAACGTATTCTGCGTTCTTATTCACATGCTTCATCGATCAGACCATAAAGCACGCACCAGTAGTTCTGTTTGTCGTCACCGGGCATATTGTTCCTGTGACTCTAACAGTTACATTCGCCAGATCGATGGCCACTACACTCATGTCAATCGCTGCTCCAAGATCCGGTCCCAAACTGGATAATACTAACAGCAATAATACTAATCATAATACGATTAGAAAAGTGGCACATGGTGATGAGAAAGTGAAACCGGACTCACAAGGACAACAGTCTGCCGCTCCAACCCAGAGAGATACGATCCGGGAATCTGCGTCCAGGGTGCATCGTCAAAAATCAAAAAATGACAGAGCATTGGTTGGACGATACAAACTCATCCGAACCATTGGGACGGGCAATTTTGCCACCGTGAAACTGGCTGACCATCTACTCACCGGAAAGGCAGTAGCGATCAAGATAATTGATAAAACAGATTTGAGCTCGTCCAGCAGACGTAAAGTAGGTCAATGAAAGCGAATTGTGAAACACAAACGTCTTATTGTTGATCCCGATTACAGCTCAGTCGAGAGGTGCGTCTGATGAAGGGACTCAATCATCCGAATATTGTCCGGTTGTTGGAGATTATCGACACGGAGAAAATTATGTATATGGTGTTGGAGTATGCCAGTGGGGGTAGGTTTTTCCCAGATAGATTTACACATTTTCACTGGCTGAAAATCATGCTATTCCATGCCTAAATTTTGGCCTAGACCTTGCATAAATTTCGGTAAAATCTTTAGGACTAAGTTGCTCAAGAGTGTCCAACAGTGAACAGACTTAATCCTTGGAATAAAAAAAAAATATTGTTTCAAGATAGATTTAAGAAAATGAACGTTGATTTGAAATGGGTCCTCAAATATCAGAATGTAGGATGCATTTACGTTGTTCTGAGTTAGTCTTCCTGTATTGAGTATTCCTTTCAGTTTGCTAGTTATTGCTTCGCGGTATTTGGTGATTGCACTAAACGTAATTATTCATTCGGTTGCTCCATTTTTCATTCAATGAATACGATATATTTCATAACAACTGTGAAGAGTGAATATACAACAAGTTGCACAGCTCTGGAGTACCGTATATTCGCTTGTGTACTATTGATGTGTATGTCGTCTAGAGGTAAATTTCCTACTTATACAAATTAGAAATGAGTTTATACATATATATATATATATATTGATTACAGTACTCTAAACTTTTCAACGGGTGCTAAGAAGAACATAATTTTGAAGAAGATTATTCAGTTGAAAATTAGAGTGTACTGTTTTTCAATTGAAACTGTACCCCAGTGTTGCGAATGCAGTATTTCTTTGAAGTGTTTTCGGATGTGTTCAGACCGCGTGGAATTGGGTTGATCTCTTGCGAGTAAAATAAATCGATCGATACATGCTATATTCACTTGATTTTACATGCGATCATTCATGGAATTCGATGGAATTACAGCGTAATGAAATGAATCCCGGAGAGCGCAGCACAGGTCCTGAATAGAAAAACCACGTGATCACTAGATCGAACCAAACTTAATATACACATACGCACACACACGCAGGCATAGGTGCACAAGTCAGACATGCGTCAGTCGAACAATGCACCCCGGGGATTCTGAATGCAGAATGACATACGATCGATAACGTACTCGGTGTTCCGCGAGCACTTCACTCCAGACGTCAACCATATGAAAATTTCTAATCCAAGATGGGGTTCAACTTTAAACCAGAATGCGCTTCCGATGCATTTGTCAAGACCATCAAGGCGTTAAGAACTGATTAATGTCCGTCGAGATTCTCAGATCACACTTGATAAAAAGGCACATTTCTGAGAGTCAAAGACCAAATGGTTCAGCTTGGTGATAAATAGGCATTTCGGTGTCCGAAAGCTCATACAATTAGAATAATAACTCAAACAGTGTGAATGTTAACATGTTGGTTCGATTTTGTTTTCCTGATTGTATTTGCGTGTTGGGGTGGGCGCAGAGTCATTTGAATTCTGTGTGTTCACATTTCAGTCCAATAACTTGAAATGCTAGCCATTATCACTTGAGATGCCCACCCACCCTCCGGTAAGGGTAACATATTGTAACAAAGTGGTGCTTGTCAAATTTACGTACCTTCAGCATACCGGGAATGTAAGCAAACACTTCAAAACACCTTATCACCTCTACTGACCTTTTCCGACAGAAAGAGAAGGGTTATATTGGAGTTTTGCAGACCCCGTGTTGACTGTATTGTGAGCTCGTTTAAAAAAATGTATACGGCAGAAAAATCTGTCACCAGCAACCAAACGAGCAACTGTGTGCATTAAATTTATGCTCAGTTTATAGACCCAGGACAGATGATATGCGAGCAGTGAAATAAAATGCGTCGCTCACTTTCACGGATGAGAAGGCAAATTGTATCGTTTGATTACTGCAGCGTGAGGAGAAAAACGGCGAGTTGGTCATGACCTTGTTGAATGTAACGCGTTAACATACGAGCTTTATCGAGCTGCATGCTTATGATAGAAGAATTTTGTTGGGGGTCACGTGATCTACAAGAACAAAACATCTCACGCCATGATTACGACATGATTAACCAAACTGACTACAAGGTCACAAAACAACTGGCAATGGTTTCAGAGAGGATAATATTTATGAGGTATTCTTATGTATAAATATAGTTTAGTTGTATCCTTCGACCTTTTGCTGTTAGATTTGCAAATGAAACTAAAAGGATTATCAGTGAATCATTTTTCACAAAAAACTATTTTATGGGCATTATTTTTAACGACAAAACTATCAATAGGATCGGTTTTGGTTATGATACCAAACGATAAGAAATTGCAATGCCAGATCTCATTGGTTACAAAATAATTTGTTTCAAAAGGGGTGTAACAAAGTACCTTTAGGATTGCGTCGTACGTTGAAACAGAAGCATCCGCCCCAAATGGAAAGTGGTTTGCTTTTGGTAACATTACTAGGTGCAGGGTAGAAGAATTAAGGTTGACCACTTGGGTAGTGAGTTGAAGGAGTAAATTGTTCCATACTGCCCAAATTCTGTGTAAACTCTGCTCACAACTAATAACTAATAACTACATTCATTAGTTTAAGGTGTCTGTCACGTGATTCCTCACATCTACCCTTTTCATTTTCACTCTGATCGAAAAACACAACGATGTGACTTAAGACCGTGAATATTTGCACCAACTCATTCGGATTTTTACATGCACCAGACACTGGGTGTGGGAGAGCATTTAATTTTCCATTGGTTAATCGCATTTAAATGCAATGAAAATTTTTGTATTGGTCGACAATGGGCACTGGACAGCTGTTTTGTCCTGTTTGGGACACGCCTGGAGTGCGTCACTTTGTGTCTCTATCAGGACTTGAACCGTGAAAGTTGGGATTGGGACTTCAAACCCTTACATCCGAGCGAATCAATTCGCGGATCATTGAATTATAAAGACTGATCAGTGAATGTATGTCGCTGGCTGCTATTCGTTTCATAGTACCTCAATGACGACCAGGAATAAATTAGTATTGCTCCTACTGGTACAAGAAGGGACGAAGAGCGCATCCAGTCGATGTTTAACGAGAGATCTAATAAGTTTGACAGTTACAAGTGGTATACTCAGGACCAGAGGTCGGATAGGTTCAGTGNCTTGACAAGCAGAAGTTTTGTCGGATGTCAGGCGGAGATATCCTCCATTGGTTGAATTATGTAAAGAGCATCTGATACTGGTCCCTTGTCACCAACGTTAGAAGATTGCAGATAGGCGACATAGAGTGATCGCCACTAAGACGGTAATGATGAATTGTGTACATTTATGGAATATTTTCGAGCGTTTTTACTGTACCAGGCAGAAAACTCAATGAGCTCCCAGCACAGACTCCACGAGCATCGAAAACCTTGAGTCTTGGACTCAAGTAACACTTCTTCTTTGCAAGCAAACGGATTGAGGACTGCGATGACATCGGACCTATCACAAAAATTGTATTCTTTAACAAAATCATAATCGATTGATGTAGGTCAAAGTCACATGACCATGGAGATCACACCCGGAAATTCCATGACAGCTGCATGAATTATCTACCTTTCTGCATTCGTTATCAGCCATTTGAGAAAAGTAAACTGTACAGCCCTCCTAAATGAAAGATGTTTTAAAATCATCACTCAATGCAGTTCCAAGCTTTGGGCAACATCCACTTTTGTACTTAAATTTTAGGTTGGTACAAAAGTACAAAATTGCTTAAATAATTTTTCCCTGACATAATCCACTGGTTGATTCGATTCTGTTGGAATCTACAGGGAAGATGATGAAAATACCTGTGTTGTATGTGCTCTCCACTCTGAAATCTGCCAGAAATATTTACCAAACACATATGTTTCCAGGGCCCACGTAGAATCTGTTAGCGACTGACAGGAGATGAACTAGGTGTTTCATGCTGTAATCAAACGGAATTCAAAATTGTGCATAAAAATGAAGTTTTTTAGGTGGGCTCATTCCTATTCAAAATGAATTATGATTTCCGGAATGCGAACCGTGGTTTGACTATTGTCGGTCTTGATCACCAGCTCCAGATAGTAGGTGAGTGAAAAGTGGCATGTTTGTAAACAAGAATACCTAAAACTGAATTTCCCTGGAATTGTTTGTTCCAACGGCTCTATCTCGTCCCCCCCCCCACTTCTCGGCCTCTGACTGACCCTCCGTTCAACGATTCCGACAGGCGAATTGTATGAATACTTGTTCAAGAAAGGGCGAATGACCGAGGCAGTTGCACGACAGACATTTCGACAAATCCTGTCAGCGGTTCAGTACTGTCATCAGAAACAGATTATTCACCGGGATTTGAAGACAGAAAATCTACTGTTGGACGAAAATTTCAACATTAAATTGGGCGATTTTGGTTTCGCAAATGAATTTCACGACGGAGTGAAATTGAACACATTCTGTGGAAGTCCACCGTACGCGGCTCCCGAATTGTTTCTAGTGAGTTGAATCCCCGCGTTGAAAACGACAATATCCGCATTGAAATCCAGTTTTTTATGGGAGACCGATTCATCAGATACTAGTGAAAGCTCTTGCATGAATCCTTAACGAAATAATTAGTTCCTGACCTGAAAGGGTTGACAATTCTCAATAGATGAATTTGTCACCACAGTTCTGTTGTCAGTTGATCATAATTTAACTTCGAAGTGTGTATTTATCTATTTGGTTCTTGTTAATGTTATAAGTTTCCCTCACATTTTATTCCTGTAAGTAAAACGAATTAAGTATCTAGTGGTTCTTTGGAGTTGAATTCTACTACTTAAATAATGTTCACTTTGGCATGATTTCGACAAGTAGATAAACTTGGTCAATTCGACTGGGATTATTGTTATTGCGGCTCGAATTTCTGCCTTAGCATTTTGTGTGAGCAAGTTGTGGTGACCAAAGCCTAGCTAATTCATTCCACTGGATAGCACGGAATTTGTAACCAGTGACAGGAGTTTGAGTGTGACCCCATTCTGTCGAGAGCTGTTGACACCATCAATTACGGTGCCAAACTCAACTGGCAAGACGTACATATTGGTTAGATCTACCGCAGTGCATTCTTGCCAGTTTTGATCACACAGTTAGACCGCTCTAGAAAATATGAAAATGTTAAACGTAAAGAGAGAGGGCAATATTTAATCTCTAGTGGAATAAAGGTTTTCGGGACAGACTCACTGCAACAGCACATCGATTTGTTGATTTCTAGATGATGAATAAGTAAATGAAAATAATGTTTCTTTTAACAGTTTCAATGATATCTTCGAACCTAATAATGACATCAGCAGTGTTTCCAATCCAGAGTAATATAGTTATCTACTCTCTGCGGAATCTGTTCGAACTGTGTGTCTGGACTACTCATCTGATTCTGGTCTCCTTCTTCTTCTTCGTAAACTGGATATCTTTGGCTGTCCTAGACAGTTATTGGCTTGACTGGCCGATTACTTCTCCGGGAGAACCCAGTGTACCAGGTTAGGTCGGAAGAAATCCAGACCATTGTTGAACAGTTCTGGAGTACTGCAAGGTGTAGTTCTTTACCCATACTTATTCTGTACGTATATTAGTGACTTGTGTGCTAGCGCCCCACTTCTCCCTTCTCATACGCTGATGATGTGGTTTTGTGTCAGGCCATCTCCAACTCTTCTGGTCTTTCACATTTTTCTGATTATTTGAACAACCTTCAACGGTTTTTCCCCACATCTGGCCTATCTCTTAAGCCCTCCGAATGTTTTGAATTTCTCTTCATATTATTACGCTCTTCTTTTCCCTCTGAACCGGTATCGATTGGTTCTGAACCAGTATCCCGGGTCAACTGTATTAAATACCTGGGTTTTTTTTACTAATATTAATTTTCAATGGACCTCTCACGTTCAACACATCGTCAGTAAGCTTCAATGACTTTCTTTCTATAACCATAAACTTCGTCAGTTTTGTATTCAATAATCAATTATTTCCATGTTTTTGTACCCGTGTGTTTTCCCCATTTAAATTTATTGTTCACCTGTTAATTTTTCCAATCACCTAAAGAAAGATTTTAAACTTCCTCGACATGGAATGACCATCATTAGCTGTATCTCTTCAATCGCGCCGAAGGAGTTGATAACTAACCTATGCAAAACGTCTTTTGAATACACGTGAAACGTTTGCACATAAGATTCTAATCAACCGCACACATACGATAGACACGGGTTTAATTTTCTGTTATTCCCATCCGACAACTGGATCCCAATGTCGAGGTGTTCCCTCTCGAATAAACATATATATGGTCACTCTACAGTACCCTCATTAGCAACTATTCCAGTGAACACATAACAGGTTTTCACGGACTTTGTTAACAGGTTTGGGGTTAAAATCTTTTTTTTCATTATTATTTTCATTTGCTCCTTCGCTCCAACCTGTACATTTTTAACTAAAATGTAGGCTTTATGCCTACCGAGGTTATTACAATACAATACAATACAATACGCATCCTACCTACAAAATCCCCCAAAAAGCGCAATTTTGTCTTCCTATCGCAATCTAACGACGCGTGGTTGCTGAATTCAAAGAAGAACTGTTTACTTTGCGTCATTCAGATTTCACCAAGCCGGCCTGTGTATAGGATAGACCAATCAGAATTCGGTGACTATCAACAGGCGACTGGTAGTTCATTTGTTGGGTTCATTTCTTGGTTAAGACTAGGACAGACCAGAGCAATAAAAAGCTCCATCCAAGCCCATTTAGTCGACACCGGACATCAAGTAAATCCGGATGTCGCCTTCAGAGTTGTTTATCGTGTCCCCCACACCAAGTGCAAGGGTGTTCAACTGCGCACTCTAGCAATAGCCGAAGCGATCGGGATAAGAAAGTTGACCCCTGACCTCTGCACCCGAAAGCGTTTGGTTCAGCCACTTCAACCTCCATGGCCCGTGATCGATCGGTCCCGAGTGTGTCCGTCGTCCGGTTACCCTGATGCTGTAACTTAGTTAAACCGATCAAATGGCAAATGCCAGTTGACTATGACAAACTCTTACTCATTATTGGTGATGTGTGATCTGTGTGATCTGTTTTATAATGTTACCTATGTAGTCTGTAAACGGCTAGAGAAGGAATTACTGAAAAACAATTGTTTCGCCAAACTGTGTTTGTTCTAATTGTTGGGAGTACGTTGAGAACCAAAGGCTTATCCGGTTGCAGTTTTAGCTCTCATGAACTGATTTCTGACTGTGCACTCTGACCATATACAGTGCAATTACACCATCGATGTGAACATTGTCTTTTCCTCTCGCCCATGAGCTTGAACGATTAAATTCCAACTGATCCTGTCCGTGATTTGATGGATCATTTTCCGTGAGTTGCACAGCTTGGAATCCCTCAAACTGACATCTGTAAGGTTTGCAATGCCCCTGTTGTCATCGGCAATTCAGTCGTGCAGTGAGAACTCTCCTGCTCTGCACAGTCAAAGTTCACCAGGCATTATAAAACTAGAGTTGGTGAACAATGTGGGGGTTCTCGCTCCGGTTAGCTGGGCAAGCATCGAATCCCTTATTACAGTTGAACCATTCAACTGATCGATAAATGAACCTGATCGATCGTGTGATTGTGCGGCCGGCATGGAAGGAGGATAAGCTATGAAGTACAGGCAGAGAATTAACACAAGAGAATAAGTTGTGGAGCGATGAGCCATGTGGAAAATTCGGAATGGAAAAGTTTCAGGCAATGATGACAATGGGCCAATACTTCACTGATCTAGGATATAGACACTGTCTTTCTAAGCCGGTCCGGTAAACAGATAATCATAAAATAAAGTTTTGAACGTATCTTGAAGACGGATTGCGATATTTAGTGATCCAGGCCCACGACAACGTAAAACTCTCCTTGATATTAAATAGTACGGTCAAGGCACCCCAAAGGTTCATTTTATGCTAAGTTGTGTGGTTAGCTTCCTCAGGTTAATTGGATACTACAGTTTATCATATACCAACCAACCTGCAACCAGTATAATAATAATTTTGTAATATTTTTAATAACGTTTTTATCAGGTAATTTCCATTTGCATAGATTAATTGCCGTTTTTGCGCATCTATTTCACAAAGAAACTCACCTATTTCTATACCTCTCTACAGGGAAAAGAATACGATGGCCCGGAAGTTGATGTTTGGTCCTTAGGCGTTATTCTTTTCAAACTGGTCAGTGGAGCGTTGCCGTTTGATGGTCATACTTTGTCCAAATTAAAAGAACGTGTTCTACGCGGAAAATATCGAATTCCGTTTTACATGTCCACAGAATGTGAAAAATTGCTGAAGAAAATGCTCGTCCTGAATCCTGCAAAAAGACACAGTCTGGAGGTAAGTAGAGCCAAAAAATACATGGGTGTTACGTAATATGTTTTAGTTGTAAAGATAAATTATCTTTATCGATCAGCTCATCCAAAAGGTTTGACAGTTATAGTATATCCTGGAATATCTGGAATATCTATATATGGTACACAAGACACAAATTCGTGCTTCTGCTGGTGGTGGCGGTGGCAGCGGTATTGGTGGTGCAGGAGAGCTCCCGTTTAGGCTTGAGAGCGGTTGATATTAACATCTGAGCTAATATTGATCTAGCGAGTTCGAAAGTAAACATCAGTAGGTCATGAAAACCATAAAAGTGATAAAACAAAGCAGTGTTGGTGGTGATGACGTATGTTATAAAGCATGAAAATGGTCCAGTAGGATAATTTCATAAATTACTTTAAACTCAAACGTGATGGAAATATTTTGTGATGGCCAACAAAGAGCCCTGGATAGCTATTTCGTTCTGTTTTAGACTCTTCAGCAGTGCGTACTTCTTGTGTTCTTGTGTTCTTGTCAGGACTCGAACCGCGAACATTCGGTTCAGGAATTCAAACCCTTACCCCAAGCTGACCAGTCCAAAAGAGGAGGAAATGGCTGTCCCGTGTCCTTTGTCGGTTATCACAAAACATTTGCATCGCATTCAAATGCATTCAACTAGTAAGGAATAAAAGACCTCTTTAAGGAGTGAACCCCTCACCCAAGATCATCAACAGCGCTTAAGCCTCTGAACAATCGAATGGGCAAATCCAGGCCTAATACTCTAAAATGAGATCAATTGTTTATAAAAGGATTGAACGCTCAAAAATTGGTCA